GTGTGTGTGTGTGTGTGTGTGTGTGTGTGTGTGTGTGTGTGTGTGTGGAAACGGCATATCTTGGGGACACTCGCTTAGAATTCCAACAGTGTGTTGTTTTGACTTAGAAAATGACATGACTTAAAAATAAAACTTTTATAACATCAGCGAGAATAGTGTAGCCTTTGTTGAGACGAAGGTCTCGTTGCCCTCCACATTAGGGTTGCCAATTAGACAGGCCAGTGACTGTGTAGCGGATTCATTGCTATCTGCCTGGGGTTAATGAAAGTTCCATGCTAGGCGCCAGTCTGTCTGCTCTCCTCTGCAGGGAGGGAGGGGGGGAGGGGGGGTGAGAGGGAGAGATCTGACTTCACTTTTCTTCCTTTCTCTCCATGCAGGTGCAGGGAAACACATGTCTCCACTTCACTCCGGGCAAGAGGACAAGAGGGGCAGAAAGGGTGGGATAGGTATTTGGGGGAGAAGGAGGAGGGTTTAAAGAAGAAAAGACAGACAAAGTGGACTGTTTCCTAGATGAGTGGGGATCAACAGTGGTGCATGAGCATGAAAACAGAGACTCATTCTTTGGCCCCTGGACAGACAAATCAACACACCAAAGCAGAAGCCAGGATTGGAAATTGAAAGCAACCGGCTTTGTACACCCTCCTCCAAAAAAAACCTGGGATCCCCTATCGGTAGAAGTAGAAACATTGGTACATTGTTTTATTTTCCTTTTTTTGTGTGTTGCATTCCAAACCTACTTTGTGGGTTAAACTCCACACCCAACCAGAACCCTCTCTACACCAAGTCTCACATCATCTCACATAATTATCCCTGTATAGTTTCCCCCCATCTAATCTGAGTTCTAATGATCTGGAGACTGTTGCAACTTTTTACGAATGTGTACATATCTGCTGTGGGTATGTAAGGTGTGAGTCAATTTGGATGTTGGTGTTTCTTCTGAATGGGAGTTTGGGTTTTATTAGGTATAATCAGAACTCTATACTAGAGTTAATTGTGAATGTTTGTAGGGATTGTGTTATTTCTACAGACAATGCGCTGTGAGTTTCATAAACTCTTAATTATAATGTTTGCTTTGTATGTATGTTCTTATGTAATGAAATAAAAAAAAAAAAAAAAAAAAGATATGAAACAAATTGGCCTTCGTGGTATCCATTTATGAAATAACGACTGAGTGTTATTCAGAAAATGAAGGCGATGCTGACGTGACTTTTGTTTCTGGATGTCAAGGAAATGCTGATACAACAGGATGTATTCAGATGAATCTTGAGGTTGAGTGGTTGGAAATCAAAGGGAGTTTCCTTGAAGTGTTTCTAATTTTCCAAAGAATGAGTTCCCACCATGTGTACAGCAGTAGATCTTCCTTCATGGTGTCAGAAGAACGGATGTTACATGATCAGAAACCAACCATTCCATCATTCATAAATCTTGAAAGCACCGGACATTCATGACACCAGATCAACATGTGCAGAAATGTGTTTCCTTGGAAGCTGAAGAGCATCACCTGTAAAGTAGCATTCATTCAACTCTACCAATAAGAATACTTTTGAAAGATCTTTTTATAGGCCTATGATGTGACTGCTTCATTTGTGTAATAACAATTAGGTGGACAAATATTACAACTGTCTAAATTCGTGTTACTGTACTTGGCTGGTCTCAAAAGTTTACCAAACTACTCCACCTTGTGGATTCATCTAGAGTGTTAGGCATTAAATGTTGACATATTACCAGTCCCTCATCTGGACCATTAGCAACAATAAAGAATCTTGTTATTTACTGTTTTACCAAAAGAGACTAGCAACAAAACAGACTCCACAATATGTTGAGTTGAGTAAATGTACCTCGTTCTAACCTTCATACTGCGAATAATAAGGTTGCAACTCCATCTAGTGGTAAACATGTGTTATTGGCTCAACATGTTCAAGCTGGTGTAGCACTTAAAAACACTGTACATTCTGGAGACTTTTAGGAAATTAACTACAAGGCAATAAATGCTACTTTTGTGAAATTGTTTTTAAAATCCATTTATTATTAAGACTGTTAAGGAAGTGATGAACTTGTTGGTAAATTTAATCTTACAACTTTACTTATATTATATATGCTCTTACAACCTTAACATGTTTATATTACTATCCATACTACCACCTATAGTGTATTTGTGTTTATACTACACTATGTATACTCCTGCACAATATATTATGGCTACTGTATAGCATATTCATTTCACACTGCTCAAACTGTACATATTTAGTATATTCATATCTACCCCTTACTGTTTATAATTTAATTTCAGGTGTGTAGTTAGATCAGGTGTCATACTCGTTTGCATTATGCTGTAAGGCATTAACGTTATTTGTACCTCAAGTATGTAAATCAGGGGATCCAATATACCATGAACACCTTGATTTATATAACCATTGCAAAGATTGGGCGAAAAATTGGGACAGAGTAGAATCAACACCTTTTACAAAGGAAGTATTATGTGAGACTGCATTAGACAGTTTTCATCTGCTTCATATATTTTCTTTGTTAGAATATATGGATATATTGACCATTTATGTGTTTTTAATTGAAAGCAGCAAAAAGATAAACCAGAAACAATCCTCAGGGCTTCAGTACTGAAGACCAGATCCCAGTTCACGCCACAAGATGGGGATGTTAAATTAGAATGCAACAACTCGTGTCCTCCTGACATCCCAGGAATTTAAGCACTCTGGACACAAGATCAGCTTTTTGCTTTGGATGTCAAAATGAACTTCTGCAGGTCAAGGGTTGCTTTGACATAGAAATGCAACACTTTGACATTTGTAGAAACCCAGATTGGTTCGATATAAGATTTAATAAACAAAGCAAGTCCGGCCTGATTGCAATCCATGTAACTCACCAGTCACTTGAAGTACATACAACCAATTCTGAATTGGTGCAGCGGTGTCATGTTTTAGCATTGGTCAAACAAAAGCCCACCGTTGTTGTTATTTTTGTTGATGTGATAGCACTCTGTTTGTCTGGCCCCATACTTACAATGACTTTAAACACACATGACACATTTGCTCCATTTAAACTAAACATTGAACTTGATGGAGTTTAGAAAACAGTATTCCATGGCAAATAATATTATAGAAATAATAATGATATCATGGCTTTGCTGATTCACGTATACAGTATTGTGTCTCCAAGTGTTATCAGTCAGTTCATTTTAGTCCAATGCATCGTTGGACTTTGCAGTCACATTGGCCCAAGCTCTCTTATTAAGAAGACAGTGAAAGGTTCCCTTATCATTTGGTTAATATTTTTACAATTCAGGCCACATTAGATTCCAAAAAGGATCACAAAATCTGAACAACTATGACTGGACAATGCAGCACCTCGAATGCATTGTACTATATATCTTGTAGTTTGATATGAAAGAGGAAGGAACGGAGGAAGGAGGTGATTTAAGTTGCACTCTGTGGATTTACAATTACAATTCTGTCAGTATTAATCGTCTCTCTTATCTGTTTAATGTTGCAATAGTATGTGATATTCACAGTACATGTTTTACCCAAAAGAGAATTAAGAATAATCTAATCCAGTGTAATATGTAAGCAACTGTGTCAGCTTTTTCCCTCACCCAGGATCCTTTAAATATGTATAGTATATAAAGTAATTTGGTGCTATATTGACTGAATAAAACATAACTAACTTAACTTGCTTTCAGAACATTATTGGATTTGATTGACTTGAAATTCTGATGAAATGTAGTTCAAAACGCAGCATGACAATAGGGCTCGCTTTGGATGGGAGTCTGTTTTGCCTTGGCCAATGGGGGTCATGTCGTATGGCTTGGGTCTGGTAGCTGTGGGTGGGGGAGGGGTTGTTTTCTTTCAATATCTCCTCTGAGCCAATAAGCAAGAGTGGTACTGAATGAATCCAATTATCATCTACAAACCATCCCCAGCAGCACCTTGCACCAGGCCACTATACTTTCATCAAGTGGATATATGGGTTTCCACGCGCAATGAACGGGCTCCTTTCTTATTATAGAAATAACCCATGAAAATCATTTTCATACATCGTAACATATTATTTATTATCTAACATTTCCCTTTAATTTCAATTGCAGTGTCTCCAAAATTGGATTAAGACAGTTATTTGAAAAAGATATGCACTGTATCTGATTTCTCCACTTCTTCAGTGAGGCTAGACCTCATACATATTTCAATGTATATCAAATTACATATTCAAATATCACAGTCCAATTTTAAAATAGGAAATTACAAATCTTTTGCCCATACTACTCTTATAATTTTTCATATTAGAAATTTAATTGAAGCTAAATATGATGCAAGATATGAGTAAATTATGGGTCAATGCGTATCATGGCCTGTGATAACCACAAAACCTTCTGTAACAACAAAGTAACAACCCTCTTCTTATACATCATATTGTCTGATTATATAGACTGGACTCATTCAATTCAAAATAATAAGTGGTCATTGTCTCCAACTCCAGCCTGGTGGATAAAAGAACCTTATGTCCCGAAATGACGCTACTGTCCCTTTAAGAATACCAGCCCCATCCGCGTACAACTGTTTTATGCAAATTTGACAAGCCGAACGTGCCGTGAGCCAACCAGAGGCGAGCTCTAACCGCGGGAGATCTAAATTTCGCGGGAGGAAGTTTGGCGCTAAAAAAGCTGTTCTTCCTCAGCTCCTGTGCTGTTGTATGGAGAGCGGAACTGTGAGGTGAACGGACAAGAGTCACAGACCGGGTCGGATTCCGCATCAGAGGGAGCCACTATAGATTGTAAATCTCACGGAGGAACCTGATCTCAATGAGACGTGGAAGCCTTCTGGTACTGGACTTTAAAATACTGGATGTTTTATTTTATTATTTAACCAGCAGCTTGTTGTAACCTGTAGGGCAAAGCTTCCTCTGCACTTTGTTACTGGACAAAGGATAACAACACCGACCAGTCTTCCGTAATTTACTGACGAATATTGTTAGAAAATACGGCTGAATTGTCGGTTTATCCCATGCATGCTGCATTTAATAGATGGATTTCTGCTGTATGAGTTGCTCTTGACTTGTTTTTTTGTTTACGTGAGTTAAGTAATATTCGCAGGGTAGAGACATATGTTCATACAAAGCCTATAGCAGCAACTTGCTATAGCAGGGGAACGATTCAGCAGAGCATTGATCGGTGTGCTTAGCTATACCAAGCTTGACCAATCCGGTTGAATTTAGTTTACTCAAGAAAATGATGCGGATGCCGAAAGGTGTCTCTCCGGCTTCGGGTCGGCCAGTAGCGGGACTGTCTTGCCCTCAGCAGAAGATCAAGGTTTTGTTCACCGGAGGAGTGAAGACCGAGTTCTTCAGCACCGGACTGTCCAGCCCGCCGATGAGCACGGTACCGGCGGGCTATTTCACCCAGATCTGCAACACCGCCGTGGCCGAACAAAGAGCCAACAGCCTGTATTCAACCCCCCACGGACCAGAGGCTAAACCCATCAGATCATCCTCCGGGCGACTGCCGGTAAATCATCCAACACACACACACACACACACACACACACTGCACAACAAGCTTGCATCACAAATACACACTTTTATAACAGCTAAATACAAAGTGCGTCCAGTGTAGTGAGTTATGTGGGCGGACTGATTATGGATTTCCAGTGGTATGCGTGTGTAGCAGCGTTTGGGGCACGTTCAAATGTGTTTTGACGTGATAAGCCACAGAGGAGCCACTGTGACTGCTGCTGGATGCGTATGAATGGCGTGGGTCCCTTTTGCCTGCCATGCTAAGTGTGACATCTTTCCCCCCGCAGGCCAGCTGTAGCTAGACAAGACCAGAGGCCGTGTGTGTTTTGGGGGGGGGGGGTATAGTTGATAGTGTTAGGGGCCCCTTGCTTGTGAAAAGAAAGGATGAGTGGCCTCCACAGGGGGAGATAGCAGCTTTTACACTGGTGGCAGACAATAATGTCAACACAGCATTTTACTGTTAACCACTGTGAACTCAAAATCAGCTCTACTTTGACGAGGAGTGTCCCTAAATCATGAGTAACACTTGTCGTTGGACAGCTTTTTTTGTGTGTGTGTGTGTGTGTGTGATTACACCCATGTGACAGCTGCTCCAAGTGCACCTGTCATTGAGGCAATGCAGGGCCTGTGTAACCTGCTGACATCACTGTAGGAAGAAGGTGGAGGTCAGAGGTCATAACTGGACAATGGGTGGGTTTTCCGGCTCATGCGTGTGTCTGCTCAGGTGAAAAGAGATCTTAGAAACACTAAACAAAAATCACTCTCGACTGCGTGATTTGTTCCTGTAAAACAAAGACTAAAATGGGTTGATTGAAAAGCTTTATGATCTGAGAGGATTGGATGACACTCGGCAGCGTGTTAGTGCTTCACAGCTGCTGGTGCTTGTTATAGTTGGTCTCTTCTCTCTCTAGCCAGCCGGCCTTGCGGTCTTTTAGAGTTAGTGAGAGTAGGGCTAAAGGGGTTAGAGTGTGCACAGGCCAGGGTCTTCAAATCTCATGTAAACCTTTTGCACTAATAGGCCCTTCAAGAGGATTAGGTGGACATAAGTAAAGTGAGAAATAGGCTACCACCTGGCTTATCATACGCAAAGGTGAACTTGATTACAGCTTTGTCAAATTCCTTGTATTTGTAACATACGTGGCAATAAACAGTTGTGATTCTGGTATTTCTCGGGGGGGATTTGTACATGTCACATGTTCGAATTCTCCATTTTGTTTGCTGACTTGGAAATGTATCCCCCCCCCCCCCCCCCCCCCCCCTGTTTAATCCAGCATTAAGACCCGCTCATGTGACAGATAGTTTGCCTCCAACGTGCCCGCGCTGACATAGAGTGTGTTGGATGTGGGTCGATAGGTTTCATTTGCACACGTGATGCGAGGCAATCATCAGAAGATGGTGACATGCTGCTGATAGTAGAGCCAGACTTCTGAGTGTGTGTGTGTTCTCACTGATAATGCTGTCGTCCATTCTGCCGCAAATACACTACACAGTACAGCGTTTGTAGTGACGGAATTGTTTTCTTTTTTTTTTGTTAAAGATAAGCAAGTGCTCGTAGTTATTACAGATTACCACAGCTGACCACAGTTAAGGTGGAGAGAAGAGTGATGCACTTTTGAAACTGCACAGCCGGTTTCAAGAGTCCCATGATTATGAAACTTCCTCCACACATTTCAGTAAGTTTGATAGACCTTCAGTTCTATCGGGGGGGGAAAGCACCACGAAGTCTTAAGAACAAATGCTGCTGAGAGTAGGTGATGGCCTTGTGTCTTGTTATACTAAATAAACATAACTAAAGTTGGTCCCCTTGCTTTTTCTTCTGGGGTTTTCTGAGAGCGTAATAGTCTCAGACACGGATCTGAATTTCTAAATTACTGACAGCTGCATCTGCAGTGTTTTTAGGGTCATGGACGAAACGCTAGGATATTTTGTCTCCTCTAATTCCTTAAATACAGAGATTCGAGATTCAGAACGGTATCCAAATTGAGTTGAGCTTGTGTTTTCAGCCACAGAGCATCACTGGCAGCAGCTGGCAAATGATCTGGTTTCATACAACCTGTTCACAAATGTTTTTTTCCCTAATTAGTCCCTCTACATTAGCAGCACGTGACAAGACAATAGATGCAAGGATGCCATCCTTATGAGGATGTTTAAAGGGATTTCAGTTCATCACTCAACTTGAAGATAGTAACTAGAGAGTGTCCTCTTTATGTGCTTGCTGACACAGCGGCTTCATTTCATGTTCAGTCATGGGTCTCATGTTTACAGGAAGTGCTGCTTCTTCATGTGTAGCTCACTTCCTTCAACTTACACAGCATTACAGTACCAACGGTCCTTTTAGCTTGGCTCAGCATGAGAACCAGCAACTCATCTATGCCACAGTGGTGCTGTGTAATCCCACACTTGAAAGCTTTCTCGTGGGGTATATGCTGTTGAAACCCCTGAGAAAGAGTTAATGTTTGACTGCACGAAGGTAACTTTAGCTGAAGAGAGCTCCTCTTTACTTATTAATCATGCCGACTGTAGTAAAAGGCAGTGAATGAGTGATTGTCATGTGACTTTTAACCATGGTGTGTAGACTATTGATGATGTTGTGTTCCTCTGGTTTCCTTTCGGATTGATGGTGGTGTAAATGTGTTACAGGATTCAGGCCTCCCACCAAAGTCCACCGACGAACCTTTCTCTCTATTACAGCTGCTTTCTATCCAATCTCGTCCTCAAAGCAAACCGATGAATGCATTTGTCTGTTTCAGATGCAAAAAGCCACATTTACTACAAACCAAATGGCAGTCTGGGAACAAGATGCATCAGCATAATGTCCACCAGAAACAAAGTCCCACTTATTCCCTGCTTATGTCACATGTGGTGTTCCCAGATTTTTCATGGGAATGTGAGCAATCTGCCAAAACTGCATCAGCACTGATATCAGCTCTATGAATTACTCTTTCTGTCTATTTCTGGGGAAACAAACATCTTTCATGTAACTCCCAGTGTCGTCTTGAATCACCTTGTGGTTCCAGAGATTCTTCTTGGAGCCCCTCTGGTGAGCCCCCCCCATTCAGACCGTTGACACTCGGGTGTGACATTGGCCACAACTCACCCGAAATCTCTCTGCTTCTCTATTCCCTCTCATTCACCTTGTTTCAACCTGATAGCCTCAGGCCAGCGGTGGCCCTGGAGCAAGTTGTCCTCAATGGGGGGGGGGGGGGGGGGGGGGGTGGTTTGCATTTCAAAAGCAGCCTGCTCCCCCCTCGCCTCTCTCCACCACCGACCCAAATGGGCAGATCCAACCTTCTCTTTTACCTCTTGAGAGCCATGTTGACAGTCTCATCAGCCGTGTAGGCATTGCTTTTCTTTTAACTCCCCAAGGGTGTGGACGTGAGGGGTTTGTGTACACAGATATTAGCAGGCATACTGTAACTTGTCCTTGGCTTGGATGGAATTTGAATCCCATGCAGCCTGACAGACCAGGTGTGTTGGTTTTGAAGAGAGGCCGCGACTGCAGAAGTCCTTCACGTGACATGAACTGCCACTTTGGAGATTTCACCAGAGCAGCTGCAGGAATCGGCCTAAGAATGTAGAGCCGACAGAAGAAGCCACGTGCGGTGCTTTGGGCGTAACTGGGCAGGCGAGTTTTGGAGATAAAGAGCTCATCAGAGTGTTTTTGACACAGGCCTATCCCATTTCCTCTCACAGCCATTGACTGAACAACAGTGGCTTGCTGCACAATAACTACAACTGACTTTGAATTGAGTAAAACATGTGCTATAACGATAATAATTTCGATGTCCAGAGGTTTTGTCTCCAGCAACATGCTTGTGTGCTGGCCTCTAAAGCCACAAACAGCCGTTCTTTCTACTACGCAAAATGGTGTTTGCGTAATATCGTTGACTCACCAGAGAAATCCCTCATGCAAAAAAAGGGAGCACCCAAGCCCATACAGCTGCAGGGTGAAACCGTTGGTTCCCCTCTTACAACATGTCACCATGGCTGTGGCTGCGACTCTCAACTTATAGACCTACAAGCCTGAAAAATGTAGACATGGTGCAGCTTGATCCGTAAATTTAGGTCATGGAAGTTAACCGTATTCTAATGTCAAGGCTGCTCTTTTTTATTCGTTACTTACACTGGAACTGACAATCAAGTCAAACCAGACAGATCTTCTCTCTGTTTAACTACAGCGGAAACTGACTCCTCCTGCTAATAACCGGTATCTGATTCCTCTCTACTGTCAGGACTCTGAGCCAACAAAAACACAGCTTTTAATCCCAGAAATAAATGCTAGCAGTCACCGTTTTGTTCAGGGTAGCCCTGACCTGTGTATTTCTCTGTCCTACTGAAGTTACTGTATACGCTGTGAGGATTAAAAGCCGCCCCGCCAGCAGCACACACACTCGCTGTGCGGCTCCAGATGTCTCCAGTCAACAGGTGGACATGTCATGGGAGCACACTGGGACAATAGCACCCTTCATTATCCCCACGCTCAGACAGGCGCATCCACACGTGGTTAAGTCAATTCAGCACTTTTTTTCCATCTCTGAAAAAGTCCCTTGCCTAAACCTATTAGCTAAAGCACTGCAGTGACAAAAGGGGATTACTGTTGCCAAGTATTTGCGAGGAGACTTGGAAGAAAGGCGAGTTTGTGAGGCAACACAGAGCTGAAAGGATAAGAGAGCACACAATTATAGATGACCGAGGTGAGGTCCTAACCAGATGCGGCCAATTACCCAGCAGCCTCAGTAACGCTGTGCTAAAATCCCACTCCTTGTTAGATCAGTCACCACAGTGTTTTGTGTGGGATTGACCGCAAACTCTCTCGTCCATCGTGTTGGAGTTAAGGAGGAATTCTGCGTGTTAGGGTGTCGCCACCTTGTGCAACTTGTCATTTTTCAGACAGTTGGTAATTTCTCAATCCTGTGAGGGGATTGGGTTCATGTGACTTTCACTTTTGTTACGTTGGGCCGATGTAGGTCACATGAAGATAGTATATTGTAGGTTATATTGTGGTCCAAAAGTTGCAGTGTAAGATGCAGTGCAGTGACAGTCAAGTAATCGTGTGTGTGTGTGTGTGTGTGTGTGTGTGTGTGTGTGTGTGTGTGTG